TAAGAGGGGTAATATTGGCCTCTTACCACGCAAACCATGGGCGTATTTGCAAGAGGCCAATATTACCCCTCTTAACTTAAAAAATGAAGAAGAGGGGGTATATTGGAAGTGTATCTAAGGAAAAATCCTTAGGGTCACATAAATTATCTCGGAGAGTGAGAACCAAATATCCTTGAAAAGGGACTAGGGACCTCCGCATTTGAGGTGTAGATAATTCCCTTTTCTCCTATACTAAAAAGATCCCTTCAAGCATTCAGAAAGTTACCAAATCGTATAGTATATAGGTTAAAATCGACGGGACTACTCGGATCATTTGACTAGGAATCCACTGTCCAGGATCTCTCGTAGATAGGGTAGCTTGAAATCCTATCGGGGCCTTATTCCGTATATCTTTTAAAAGAAGCCTTTCTTGTAACCGTGGATTTATGCTTTCCTTGGATTTTACCTTTGATTTGGTGGCGGAGCGATAAGGTGTTTATAATGTCGGATCCTTTCGTCTGGCCTTGGGTGATATGGGACATTTCCCTAAAAGGAGTGTCCGGGCGATCGAAAGCGTTGAACCTACCCAGTTATTGCAACACTCAAGGTTTAAGTGCCTTTCTCTAATTCTTTCATAGATGGTCGAAGCTTAAGTCCAAGGATTTATGAAAGCGAGGCAAGAGAACTTTGCTCATGAATTCTTCCTTATCATATATTCCTTAGAAATCCTTTTAGAAGGTTTGTCCCAGTTGGGGAGTAAGTGCTCACACCACCCTGTTTATTACAAATGGTCGCCCCCTCTTTGGGATTAGGGAATACTTTAACGAAGAGTTTGTCAGGGAAAGCCCGGATTCCTTAAAGGTGGTATGTAATAAACCGCAAGGAAAAAGATTTTGGAAAACCTTTTTTATCAATGCTAAGAATTTACGTATCATTACATCAACCTTATGCATGTTTTCGGTCTTGGCTCTTGGAATTGTTGCATTTTCGCAACGGGGAGTTGTGACAGAAGTATAGAGTATGACTCTTCTTTGTTAATTATTCCGTGTGTTGGGTAATCCTAAACATCGAACATAGAGAAGTGTAATCGATTCAGTCATCGAGGTTAATTGCATGTAAAGACGGTCTAAAACCTGGTTTCTCAATTATTGAGTACCTTAATGCCCCCAATTAGTTAACTGTTGTTATTCTAAACGTTTTTCGTTATGGTTGGAAGGTAGGATTAGAAAGCTATCCCTAACAGAACGCCATTCTACGAAGTTTGATCCGCTGGGACACAGTAGGAGGCCATGTCCTTCTATTATATGGGGGAGGGACGGGGAGGAAATATTCAATTCTACTATTTTCCTTAGAAGTCGAGTATTTGTAAACCTCTAAGCAACTATGATTTTTTTCTTGTAGGTTCAGAGGTCACGCAAGCACAATGGGCAAATACACTTAAAGATAAATCTAATTCTCAATATGTTGTTCAACAATATTATGAACCGTTAAAATTCATGTCAATGAACATTGTTGGAATGTTTTTCTGTTTTAATCAACAGTGTTTCAATATGGGAATTATAAGAATGTCAAATGAGTCTGTTGTCAATATCAGCGATGGAGGCTACTATATTCGTCCATTTGTACGGAGACATGTTTATCGCGATCCATGTGGAGGAATATTGACAAAATCTGCCTTGCATGAACAAATATTGAGTAGGAATGGGGATGATGACAGATGGAAACACATGTATTTGTCCTCATCGGGTGGCTCGGGAGGGAAAAGACTCTTTTTTGCAACTGATATTAAAGAAAATCAGTTTCAACGAAAGATTCTAGTGCAAGGAATGATTGAGCACAAAGTATTTAACGAAGCTGACATTTGTCTAAATCTCTTTGAAGCTAACAACATGTATCGTTCTTGCGAAATATTCAACGACTTCTGCGCAATTGCCAATGTGACTACTTTGCCAATGGGTTTTAAATCTTGTGACTCAGATGTTCTCAAAATTATCCGTATGTTCAAGCCAAATGTGTGTATGTCTTCACCGTATCGACTAATGCAACTAACTCTATTTGCCAATAAAATGGGCGAGAGCATTAAATTTGACAAGATAATATTTTCTTGCGAACCGTTGCAAGAATCCAATCGAGAATATTTTCGACATGCACTTCAGTGTGACTGTTTTATGGGAATGTACGGGTCAGCCGAACTTGGTGTTTTTGCTTTTCAATCACCAGCACTTTCAGCTACATCTTCCTACATCTACCCAAAAAGTTTGGTTCATATCGAAATTGTAGCCGATGACAATAACAGCAAACAGTATGGAAGAATTATTGCAACAAATTTAGTCAGGCGACAAAATCAATTGATTCGTTTCGACACAGGTGACATAGGTCAACTAGTTTCGGTTGATAGTGATAAATATGGAATACTGAATGTGAAATCCAGCCAAAGGCTCTTACTAGTGGGTAGTGGAAGTTTATCAAAATCAGATATTGATCAATGTATGATGGAAGAATGTCACTCATGTATCGAATGGCAGTTGCTAATAGATCAAGTTGATGAAAAAGCGTCTGTGACATTTAGATATGTGATTCGGCAAGGAGAAACATCAGAAAATATTGTGTCTAACATCAAAAATTATTTAGAAAAATGCTTTAACTCATCGAACTATAACGAAGAAATATATTTAAACTTTGAATGCATCCAACTGACCGATCTTATACGTTCGACTGTTTCAAACAAAGTATTAAAAATAATCGATAGACGAATTTACTAATCAATCATTATACATGCTTTTTCATATGTTTTAAATACACCTAAATAGTTGTTCTACGACATTCGATCTTCAAAAGTTTTTTATTCCTTTCATCTCTCAATTTACGGATCGTTTATTCTACAAACATGACAGAAATCTTACAGCTGCTTATATAGGTAACTTTGATGGCGCTGTTCGATGTCTAGATAAAAATAATAGGTCAGCTTTTGACCAAGTTAAGCCTATTCTCATTGTTAGCACGGATACTCGCTTAAGTTTTTCCAACAGCATAATCATATTTAGAACATCTGAGGATTAATTTGGATGCGGAAATTTTTATAAATAATCGAAGGTTGATTTTTAAACTACATTTTAAACTTCAAAAATTAAATTTGAAATTTGAAATATTGAGTTTCCGTCAAGAGATAAAGTTCTTTTGAAAAAAGCATTGGATAGTGCTTAAAAAACTGGACCAATGTAGGGGCATGACAGAGTTGGAAAGTTTAGAAAAGGCATTATCCGGAAATCGCCGTTGCCGCGGATTCTTATATGTTAAAGTGTTAAAGTGTAAAAGGATAAACGTGCATAATTGAGGGTGAGGAAGTGAGGATGAGGGTGGAGCACTTCTTCACCCACTTCACTCTCACTTCTCCACCCTCACCCTCACTCGCCGCGAGTTCGTATATGTTAAAGTGTTAAAGTGTTAACACTTTAACATTGAATCCACGGCGACGGCGATTTCCGGATGTTATGTTAGAAGAGTGGTTTTTTAGAAAGTTCTCCAAAAATCTATGGAAATAGCTTTTTAAAAATTTAATGTTAGTTCAGAAGATTTTTCTAGTTAGAACTGCCAGTGGA